TAAAAAGGAACATTCAGATTGTTTTTTTCTCCAGCAAGTTAAACATACTTGTACCTTGTGGCCCTTTAGCCATACTTGTCGATGAGTTAACTGATCATCACGTGAGTTGTCAAACTGTTTTCAGACCACAAAAATTTTGTGATCTTTATACGAGCTCATGTGACATTTTTTCTTGTTGTTGAATATTTCAGGGATGGATCTTCATACTTAGCTTGTCAGGCATCATTCCCCTTGCGGAGCGTTTAGGTTGGGCCACAGAGTAATTCTCTACAACCAATGTCTACAAGATGTTGCATGAGCAAATCAATAAGGATCAGAGGGAACTAAATGTATAATTGCCAAATGCATGCCAGCATTTCTTGACATGTTGAGCCTCAGGCTTAGTTTTTAACTGTGAAATGGAAGTTCTTTTGAGCTAGGCAACATTTAAACTTATATATGTCCATCTTTTGATGTCTACATAATTTAAAAAGACAATAGCTTTCTGATCCTTTCTCTGTTCCAATGTTAGCATTAGACATTGTATTTGGAACATAAGCTGAAGGCTACTGACTTGTTTTTCTCTACAAGCTTTTAATACTGTTATACATTTTCCAAGAAGTAACTAATTTGTGTTTGGTTTCATTCTTTGTATAGGCAGCTGGCTTTTTATACTGGACCTACAGGTAGTCTTGTCTTTACTAGTCGATATGCATGTATGTTTTGTATAACTAATTCATGGTCGTTTTGTCTCTTTATGGTTATAATTCTATTAGAGATGCATAAAAGGAAACAGCAAACATCACTCATCTCCATTTTTTTAGTATATGATGTATAAGAACATGATGTTTTTTGTATCATCCATTGCTTTTCACCTATTAATTGTCTTTCGGCATTATCTATGTAATGTGTGCCTAGGAGAGCATGTCCCAACGATATCTGTATTTCGAGGATTCATCATGAATTGGATAACTACTTTTATGCTGGCCACCATCCTACTGCAATCCCCCTCCTTTATCTGGGCTTGAGAGCTGAGACGAGCAATGGCAAGCTCTCACAGGCAGCGTTTCTTGCATTCAGTTAATACTCCACATAATCTCAGGATCTATTGACCTGTCTCCTGTACCAAGTGATTACATACCCTTCATCTACTATCTAAGTAGCACTATTTCCAGTAGCTGTCTTCACCAACTATTTGACTTAAAGCATTAGCTTCCTGCAAAATTACTAGTATCTTCTTTTCTGCTCCTAGTTAAAACAAATGTGCAGCCGTTATATTTCATTTTAAATTTTCTAAAGCTACTATCTTAATGTTGCCTTCTGAACATCGTTACTTAAATTACCTGATAATTTTGGATTTCTTAGATATAGATCTGCTGTACATGTTGCAGATGTTTTCAAACTTGTAGTATATCAAGTATACTGTTTCTAGCAAACGTTCCCATGGTTTATGTAGCTGCACAGCATTTAGCCAATATCATCTCGATTAATTCTCAGTTAAAACTTTCGCAGTGGGAGGACTTTTAAATGCAACCTTTGGAAATGCAACAGAGTTAATAATTTCAATGTATGCTCTGAAAAGTGGCATGATTCGTGTGGTGCAGCAATCACTATTGGGCTCCATTCTGTCCAATACTTTACTAGTCCTTGGATGTGCATTTTTTGGTGGTGGCATTGTTCATTCTAATAAGGAGCAGGTTTTCAACAAGGTAATAGTTTTTTTACTATGAGCTTTGTATACACCAAAATCGATAATAGTTTTGTTCGAGTTGCATCATGATCAATGGATAACACTAGGATAATTGGATCTTTTCCAAATTCTCTTTGTTAGGGAACTGCAGTGATGAATTCAGGGTTGCTTTTAATGGCAGTTATGTGCTTGCTGTTCCCTGCTGTCCTCCACGTTACGCACACTGAAGTGCATTTTGGGAAGTCAGTGTTGGCTCTTTCCAGATTTAGCAGCTGCATTATGCTTGTAGCATATGGGGCATATCTATTTTTTCAACTGACAAACCAAAAGAATCTTTACATGCCAATGGCTGAGGTTGGGGTTCTTCATTGTCCAGTACGGTTTTTAATAAATGTTGCTATCCTACATACATAATTTGGTGTTATGTGTTAATCCTTTCTTTTTGTATGGTTATACTAAGTTCATCTCCGATTGGAAAAATTAAAAATCCTATCTCCGTTATATCCTCCTTTTGCGTCCATTCTTACTTCATGAGTTTGCTCCAAATTTTCCTCTGAGTATAGTACAATTTCAGGAAGAGGATCAGATTGATGGGAGTTTAGATAATGAAGAAGCTCCCGAGATATCAAAATGGGGCTCGATTCTATGGCTCTCTGTTATGACACTATGGATAGCAGTCTTATCAGAGTACCTAGTCAATACCATAGAGGTAAGTCCATCCTATTAGGCTTTCTTATCTTTTTCGATTTTGCAATTTTGTATCCTTTAAATATAATTAAAAATTTCTTTTTCTCCTTGTTCCTTTACAACTTACTGGTTACTGCTATAGATTTGTATGATTGAAATGATCCAGGTATTTCTTTATCATAACTCACAACAAAGAAAAGGTCCTTTTTTAATGTATCTATCAAAAAAAAAAAAAAAAAAAAAACTGTGTGCAGACCCTCCTCTACTTTTCAGTTCAGTATGTTACATACGAAAATGTGGCCTTCTTTTTTTCCTTTCCCTTTTGGTTCTTTGAGTCCCTCATCCAATAAACATGACAATGTTTTCAGGGGGCATCCATTGCAATGAATATTCCTGTAGCATTTATAAGTGTGATACTGCTCCCGATTGTCGGAAACGCTGCTGAGCATGCCGGAGCTGTCATGTTTGCTGTCAAAGACAAGCTTGTACTTTCTTCGCCTTTCTCTGTTACAAAGCTAATGATTTACAATCACCATTCCTCATTTACTAATTTGTGGCTGTGCAGGACATATCTTTGGGAGTGGCAATAGGCTCATCAACACAGATAGCCATGTTTGGGGTAGGTACTTTATTTAAAGAGTTCCTGTTTCGTGATTTGCACCAATGAGAAACTTTAGGCAGTAAGTTATTTCTGATCTATGTAATCAAGGTATATGTATCGCCATAGCTTTGCAGTTACTTTACACCTCACTTTTTTTCAATTTTTTATTTCAAGAAATACAAAACTTTTGTTGCTTCCTGGCTTACCCCCTTTTTATTGTCAAGTAAACACATTTTTTATTCCCAATTTTGCCATGTCAACTGCCAAGTGAAAAAGGAAAAAAAGGATAAAGATATTACACGTGTTTTTGTTTTGGTTGCTATCTTTTTTCTCCTTGGTAATTTATGCTTGTTTTCATCTGTTCTTTTGGTGCAGATCCCATTCTCTGTTGTAGTTGGATGGATAATAGGGTGTCCTATGAACTTGGACTTCCAAATGTTTGAAACAGCCACACTTCTAATGACTGTCCTTGTTGTAGCATTCATGCTGCAGGTATGCTATCATATTTTTATTAAAATTTCCCTTTCTGGCCTGAGATGAGTTTATATGGGAAGTACGTGGTCATTGAAGATTCATATAGCCGACCCCAACTTGTTTGGGACTTAGGCTTAGTTGTTGTTGGCCATTCATCTTCAAAGAAATGTTGGTGGAGAATTTAATATTTAACGTTGTTCCGTGCAAATTTCTTGACGACTAAATGTCTAGAGTGACCATATCTTATCTTGTTAAAGAATGGTTAATTGGTTAACATTGTCGCAAGTCTTGCTACGGCCTGGCTATACTTGAGCGCAATGGTTGGAATTTACATTTATCTTATCCTATTACCATGCTGCATCCTTGCAGTAAAACGATATCCTTTTTTTTACAGGACGGAAATTCTAATTACTTTAAAGGGCTGATGCTCCTTCTCTGCTATCTTATAGTTGCTGCAAGTTTCTTTGTACATATAGATCCAGAGTCTATACGTAAGTTTCCCTCTCTCTCTCTTTGTGCAATTTTTATATGGTAGCTTGTCATCTGTATCGCATTTACACTTTCCTATATCTCTTTAGTGTAGATGATATATTAGCATTGCTATTCTAGTATGCATTGCTTTCTTATTTAGTGAAAGCAAAACCAAACACACACGCGCACATACACAGCAGTAGGTGCGCTCGCACTGGCTGCACCTCATTTCATTTGAACCCCGTAGCTCTAACTTAGATCCTGTATGTGTTACAAAATCCACTGAATTAGTACAAATAAGGATTTCAAACCAAATAAATCAAATGGACTATGGTAGAATTTCAAACTCGACCGTCCCATAAAGTTAAAATCCTGGATCCGTCTAAAATCTGTTCATCATAATCCAATGTGTCGTAACTGACTTTGCAGAGGACAAGCCCAGAAAACAAAATGGTTAAATGAGTGATTTCATGCTAAAGCTGAAGGGCCTATGAAGAGTTGCATGAGATGAAGAGCCGTCATTTTGGAAACATTAAGCAGTGATTTTGATAAGAATATATTCATCTGCTGCTATAGCTCAAGCTGGTTGATCAGTTTTTCCCCCATTTGTTTAGTAGACTAGTATCTTGCAGTTTTGATAGTTATTGTGTATTGCTAAAAATAGGATGTAGTATTATTTTTGTTTATTGTGAGCTTATTATTCATGTTGGACAATATCATATGATGTTGCCTAATAGTGCCAAAAGAAACATTGTGTGTAATTAATTCACTTAGATAAATCTCTTAACCATGGTTAATAGGTACAATTTGGTGTAAGCAGTCCGTGCGAATAAGTGCATAAATTTAATATTCAAGAAGGATTGAATATGATAATATTCAATATTGGTTTTCGAAGTGCATAAATAGCTAACAACGAGATATAAATATTATGGTATGACGTAAATAAAGATCCAAAGTTTCTCTAATCTTGCTAAACTTTATCTATATCTAATCTAGGAAATCATACTATATGCTAGATAACTAAGTAAAAAAAAGAAACTATGAGCTTATTAATTGGATAAATTATCATCCATGATAAGTCTTGGCTAGTCTTTGACACTACTCTTGTGAAACTGTTTGAACATTTACTTTTGCAGGGTGACCACCAAACTCCTCAAATATAACCAAATTGTTGTCACTCTTACGCAAGAAAGATCTTGGTACATGATACCTACAAAAAAAAAAGTGACCAAAAATTAAAATATAATATATAATATATAATAATTAAACTTTAGGTTAAGAAAATTAGAAGTATATAACATACCAGCGTTGAGTAGGTTGTCCACAATTAGTTGCACATTTCTCAGGATGATAATTACCACGATAATCACATGAACTACTACAGCCATTCACTTTCTCAAAATCATAAGAAGTTAGCCAATATCTACCAATATTATTTCCATTTACCCAAGCTGTACCTTTTCCTAATCCCATCATATCCAACACAACAGGATCATCACCAGATGGAGTCTTGAATGTTGTCTGCCCCATAAAATAAAATACAAATTAATAAAAATGGAAACAAGACTCTAAAAAAAAATCCATAATTTTCCACAGCCTACTTAGTAGGCGACATAAAAATTGTAATTTTTGAAAAAAAGTAGTACTTGGAGTTAAGTTGAAAAATGATATTTGGAATTCGAAATTGTGTGGACATGCATTTCACTTGAAAAAATGTTGCAGTTTTGTGAGAGGATTTTTTTTTTTTTTTAATTTGGAAAAAGTGGTTATTTTTGAAAAAATTTCAAAAATTTGCAAAATTTTGTGGACAAACACATTTTTGAGAAAAAAAAAACTCGAAAAGAAGAAAAAATTTCTTAAGGACAGACAGGTCCTTCTAATAGATGCACAGGGGCGGAGCTATAGGGGGCGGTAGGGGTTCGCCGGAAAATATATATATCAAATTTATATATATATATATATATATTGAATCCTTTTAGTGAAAATTATGTCTCCGTCATTGTAACTTGCATCTTATAAAATAGTAACAAAAAAAAAAAAAATAGTACCTTATACCATACAAACATTCTGTTTGTTTGGAGAGTTTGAGCTGGTTTCCAATTTCTATGCATGTAATCTTCATCTTCCCAAAGCTTTCTTTCAAGTCCTTCTAAACCAATCTTGTATTCCCATTGGTTATTTGTTAAATCTTTCACAACACCACTTGGTGATTTCAACACAACTGGACCAAGAATTCCGTTCTTCACCTTGTCAAGGTAGGCTCCATAATTCTAAAGCAAAACCAAAAAAAAAAAAAAAAAAAAAAAAAATTGAGTGTAAAATAGTTAGTAAAAAAAATCCAAAAAGGTAAAATAAATTATAAATTATCTAAAAAATTAGTGCTTACTGGAAATCCAACAGTGACACTAAGGAGAGATAATGTGTTCTTTCCAGGTTTGATCTTCAAAAGTTGCTGAAAGTCAAAACTATACTTTCCATCTTTCGCCCATTTAGTCCCTAAAATATAATAGAAATTTAAATAAAATTAAACCAAACCATAATAAAATAAACCTACATCTTAAAACAATTATTATTTATAATACATACCAATATGCTTGCCATTGAAAAATGCATAAAGAACATGTGCATCAGTATGAACTTCAAGAACAGCTTCACCACCATAAAGTGGATCAGATTCTTTGATATCCACACTACAAAAATCAATTAAATTAGTCGGACCAGTGGTTACGGATACCAGATGATTAAATTAGAAAATAGAAATAAAGGTAAACGTAGAAATTATCAAAGAAAGAAAAAGAGAAAAATATTACCTTGTCATGTACCATAAATAGTCGCTAGTATCATTTGCCACAATTTTTTGGTCAAGAAGTTGATTGGCATATAAAACACCTTTCTTTTTAATGTTAATAAAAGAAGGCTTAAGATGTGAAGGTTTCTCAGCTCTCCAACTCCAATTTAAGCCATTGGGATTGTCAGCATTGTTTGGTTTTCTCACCATGACCTTTTTTGGAACATTAACCTATGAAAAAAATGAGCAAAAAAATAAGAAGAATTACCCTAAATGCAACTCATCCAACCGCTTAAACTAAAAATAGTTGGCAGATATATATAATATATATAATTCATGTATAATATGTATATAACTGTGTGTAATCAGTGTATGAGCTATGTATACTAGCTAAGAAAAGTAAATAGTGAATACTATATAAAGATCTCATTATATATTTTTGTAAAATTTAAATTATATAAGTGAGAATTATATGACATACCTTTGCTGTATTATATTTGACATTGACACAATCAGGAAGAATACTAACTGACCAAGCAGGAACAGTGTAGTTTTTGCCTTCAAAATTGAATATCCGATCATTTTTGTCATTTGCATTGGCTAAGAAACATACCCTTGAGCCTTGGTATTCATACACAGTACTCTGGACAAGACCATATTAAAAAAATAATTAGTAATTAATTAGTAAATCGAACATAAATCATTACCGATTAAATTTTAAGAATATATATAAAAGAAGAAAATAAAACGGAAAATGTATATGTATGTATACTAACCGTATACTGCCAATCATCATCACCATAAGCTTTTTGTGTTGCATTGCCATATGTGAGAAGTTTCTCAACTGATTTAAGTATTTCATGAAGTTCCTTGAGATGTCCATATTTAGGCTGGTTTAGTTGTCCTAAAATATTTTGAGCAATAATTAGAATTACCCATTAAATAGTCATGCATTATAATAAATAAATAAATAATTTAATAATAATTATTACCATATTCATTAAGGGGTGCATCATAATCATAAGTTGTGGTAATATAAGGTCCTCCAGCTACACGGCCAAAGTTAGTTCCACCATGATACTACAAAGAAAAAAAATTAAAATAATTAATTTTAAATAATAGACAAAGCAAAGAATCAAACCCAACATGAATTATTTACTAACCATATAATAATTCTGCAATGTGCCACCTTTTTGGAAAAAACGAGCAACAGCAAATGCAACATCTTCAGCAGTTCTATGAGGATCTCTACCATTATTCCAGTCTTTAAACCTTGTTTAAACCAAAATAAAAGTAATCACATATTTAATAATCAGTAATTTTTATTTAAAAGAAAAAACCATGTGTATATTAAATTAAATTTTATAAATTAATTTAACTTACCAGCCAGTCCAATTCTCGGTCCACATCTTGGGAATTTTGCGTTTAGGATAAAAGTTATCAGCATAATAACCGTTTGCTGTATTGATCTGCAATTTTCAAAATAATAAAAGGCAAAATTATTAAACAATAATATAAAACAATCGAGTTGAATTAGAATAACCCTGTGTATAGAGTCGCGCATTGGAGGGAATTTTTCCTCCAATGCAAGACTTTCCGACGCGAATCCGAGATTTAGTCAAGTCCCAATACATGTATGATATCAAGTGGAAAATAAAAAAAATTAAAATTAAAATTAAAAAAAAAAACTAACCATGGGGTCTGGAGCATCATCTTGTTGACACATGATCCAAGGGACACCAATATTAAGAGAGACAGCAAATTTTGCACACTCTTGAATATATATTTTCCCATCATTTCCATATTCAGATTCAACTTTCCAATTGCCATATTCGTTTTCAATCTAATTTTATCACAATTAACAAACCAAAAAAAAAGGAAAGGAAATTGTAAATTTCACTTCAAATATCACGAATTAATATTTTAATTTTTAAAACTAATAAAAGAGATATAAAACATACCTGAGAGAGTATAATTGGTCCACCTTGAGAAGCAAAAAGATTTTCTTTTTTCATCATGTCAACAATCTTGCTGACAAAAGTCTTCATCTCATACTATAAATCAAATTAAAAGAAAAAATAAGTATTCGGTTTGAGAAAAATAAAGTTAGTTTAATTTTGAATTAAATGTAGACCAAAAATAATACTTACCATAAACGGAGGATTGTTGGTCCTAACAGTCATATTTTGTATGTTGTTTAACCAAACTGGAAATCCTCTGGAAGAAAAAACAAAAATAGATAAATAAATAAATAAATAAAAGAACGTTAAAAATGAAAATTAACTTAAAATATCAAATCACATGATTAAATATAATAATTACCCGTAATTCCATTCAGCACAAACGTATGGACCAATTCTCAATATGGCATAAAGTCCTTCATTTTGTATTAATTTCATAAACTTTACAAGATCCAAGTTGCCCGAGAAATCATACTAATTATTTTAAAAAAATATAAACAAAGAAAAAAAAATCAATTAGACAGAATAAAGAAAATCATTATCCAAAAAAATTGGCTAATTAAATATTATAAATACAAACCTGACGATATACAGGCTCATGAGCATTCCAAAAAACATAAGTCTCAACTGCATCAAGACCTCCCTCCTTAGCTTTCTTGATCAAAGATGGCCACATCTAAAAAATATACAAAAAACATTTAAAATTAAAGTAAGTCTTTCGCCTTTTAAATTTTGCTTTTTGATTCACTACCATCGTCTGAAAAAAAAAAATCGTTACGTTTTAATAAAAAAAATATAACATGCCTCAATTGATTTGAGAATATTGACATATCACACATGGTTGATTGATTGAAAACATTAACATAATAAATAACATTATATGATACAAATATTTGATTTACCTCTGCAGTGCTACGAGGATAATGAATGGAACCAGACAATATAATTTTTCTTTCGCCATTAATTTTTAAAGCTCGATCATCATACGTGACTTCAGTAGCAAAAGAAATCAAACAAGAAGCGAAAAGAACTACATAAAGTAGTAAAATATTTGTGTATTTAGCCATGGCTGCACCTAAAGTTGAAACTAACGTAGAAAGAATTATTAGAAGTGACATCTATTTATAATACATGGTAGTAGAGCAATTAGAGACCTAGTTGAAAACTTTGTTTTATATTCTATCTGTTATTTAATGTGAATTTATTGTGTTTTATTCAAGCTCTAGTTGTTAATTTCTATAGAAGTCTAGTTTAGTGCCAACTTTCTTCCATTATTCTCTATCTCTTTTTATTCTAATTGGGTATTTCGTGTAATTTCTTGGCTAATTTATTTTGTAGATTTTGTTTTATTAATCTTATCGTGTGAAGCATACTTAAATTTTACAAAATACTTGATTTAATTCGGTCCAGTAAATATATTACGTCTACATTACACTTTTATTTTATTTTTCCATCGGAATTGTATATTTTAACCTTTTATGAAATTTAAAATATTATATATTGTGAAAGCTATCAGATAAATTTGGATCTTGGAAATGCCAAAGATACAGTTAGATACCTTACGTAAATTATTTTATCAAAAAAATGATTTGTTAAGGGACGAGTTCTAGCTTATATAAAATAGTTATCTTACATGTAAGTCAATTCTTACCAACCTCTTTCTTTTTCCGATAGAATAGGGGAATATTCAATCTGATAAATTAAAATAAGAAAAATTTGAGAAGCAAGACATTAATTTTGAAATATATTTAAATTTTGAAATTTTGGAAATATTACATTTTTTTTTTTTTGAAGTGGTAAACATTTTACTAGACTTCATATCATGTAAAATGCTATAAAAATGAAACGTAAGCTGATTTCAGAAGTATACTTACTGGTTTCTCTTAGTCGGGTCAATTAGTTTTGTGATCAGAGGCGGATTCAGAATTTTAAGTTTATGGGTTCTTACAGAAATCTCAAGTTAATATACAATAATAACTAGATTAACGGACTGAGTTCCAAGCTAAATATTTTATAAATTTAATAAATTTTTCAATACAAATACGGGATCTAGGGAAAAGTTATTGGGTTCACCGGAACCCGTAACTAATGCACAGGATCCGTCCATGTTTGTGACCTATTATAATTTTTAGAATTTTACGTCAAATCTTCTCCAAAACTTTATTTTTATACATAAGAGATCTGAAAATAAAATACGAGATATTTTTATTGTATTATTTTCTTCTATTCAAATTGTAAAGGGTTTTGTCGAACCATTTCTTATTACAACCTTCAAAAGTGCATAAATATGTGATCTTTAGTTAGTACTATACTGATTAGACAGACTTGACAAGCTTCATTTATGAAAATCAACCTTAATTAATATCTATCCAACAACTACCATCTTTGGACTTACTATTTTAAGTACACCCCAATTCATATACTTATTGGTGTAACAATTAATTAATTTCTTGTTTTAATTGCATATAGTATTTTAAGGAAATAAGTGTTATCAGTTACGCTAAAGAAATTAAGAGGAAAAAAAATAGTTATATGAATACGAACTCAATAGTTGGGTACTTGGGTAGAAGTTCTCTATCTTTGTAAATTGTACTCAATGGCTTAAAATAGTAATAACAAATGAATGCAGCAGTTGATGTAAGTCATGTTATAGTATATCGAATAAGCTGACTGCAAGTTGTATGAATTTCCACTATTAATAAGTGGGATTGGAATGAGAGGTGCCCCGGTTGCAATTCGGGTATGAGGGTATTTTTGTAATTACATGAAAATAAAATAATTCTATTGGCTGACAAATGAAGTTAATTACATTTAAATCTTTTGGTCTACCGGCCAACTGGTCCCTTTTGAATGTGATGCACGTCATAATAAAGTGACCAACTTGCCCCTAGGGGCGTACATACAATTTTTCGTAGGCGGTGTCGATATATAAAAAAGAAACAAAGAGCAAATAAATTAGCGGCATCAAATTATTAAAAAAAAAAAAAGTACGCTACGTTCTCCTCGACATATTTGTGGATGTTATTACGATTTGGCCCTTTCCTTATGTTATATGAACTTTGAGATGTTGAACTTGGTTTGGAAAGCTCAGTGCTCTAGAGAAACTTTGTTCATTGAAATTAGAGATTTTTATACGGTTGAGCATCTCCTAAGAATTATTTAAAAAAATGGCATCATTCTTTGTTTATTCCATAAATAGCAATTCTTTTTACAGATTAAGCACATAATTAATGAGTAAACATAATGCACAAATCATGGGATTGATTCTTATTCTTATTTATTTTTTCACACTCTTTCTCCTCTTATCCAAATTTCATTTACCATTCAAATTTCTCTCTTATTAGAAGTGAAAATGGACGCACTGATCCTAGTGGTCTTTTGATAAATTAATACCACTGTGCATACAATATATACAATGTATAATGGTATTAATTTATAAGAAATGCATATACAACATACATGAGATGCATATTTTTTAAATATATAACGTATATATATATATATGTGTGTG